CTTTTAATCCTCTTTGTATTCCTCGTTTTTTTGCTTTTTAATTGGTTGAGTTTTTGTGTTATTGGAAAAGGACATATGGACAAACGCTGGTAGGTGCATTCATTTCTTATTGTCTATTTAGTACCATTAACGTTAACCGTTATGCTTTGATATTGCTAACAGTGGGTGCAAACGTTCGTGGTCGAGGTGCAGTACGAATGACGGAAGTTCGAACCTACGTGCGGTGCAGATTTTGGCTGGCAAATAATTGTTTCTAAACCTTCAAGACTGGTTCCATCCGGCTTATAGCGACAGCCTCAGCAAATCGAAGGCAGCGGGGATTAGTGTAACCTAACACAATTTTACACGCTAAGCCCAGCGCTGCCTGGTGACCCTAGTCTAATAGGTGTTTGTCTATCGAGGAATCCGGCGGTCTGCGCAAACACGGAATCTGACGAGGGTAGACATTCTAAGCAACTTCACAATAAACCCATCTTGGTACATGCTTCTTTATTCGGGAATTCAGAGTTCTATTAGTTCTGCCTATGTAACTGTCTCCGCAGTCACATACAAATTGGTATCCACAGTGTGAGTTGGATCCAATAAGCTGATCCTCCTTCGATGGAGGTATGACCAACTTTCGGGTTCGGTTGATGACGACGACGTGTGCAGCATAATAACTTCCTTGTGTAGCCCAAATTATACGTTTAGTAGTCTTCAGCGTGGCTAACTCACCTTAGAAAGGTAACTCGATATACACTTTCTTCTTGGCTGCCGTGTGCACCAAGTCCTTTGGCCTTCGCGGTTGGCTGTGTTTCTCGATAAATCTTCGAGGGTAGCCGTTCGCCATTCGTGTTGCTGTAATTAACACTAGCTCATCTTCCAGACAGTCGGCTGAACAAATTCGTCTGGCACGACTAACTAGAGTCTTCACAAGTGTCCGTTTGTACCGCGCTGGTGTGAAGCTAGTGAAGTTCAGGTACTGACCGGACCAAGTTGATTTTCGGTAAATGTACCTCTTTATCAATCCAACATCCCTGCTACTTATGAGTATGTCCAGATATAGCAGACACTTGTTCTGTTCTATTTCGCATCTAACCCGGTATGTTAGTATGAGCACTATTGATCCGTTATTCGTTTGCTATTCCCTGACTTGCACTTTCCCAAGTCACCCTTACGCTAGGCGAGACGTAATACATATTTTGTTTGAAGCATTATGTTCCCTGTCTCATTCTAAACAATACAATGAGAGGCCGGATGTTGCAGGCTGATATCATTTCGTGCTCTGATCTCATGCACACGAGCAACATTTTAGAACGATCACTGATTAAATGGAATCAAGAGTTTGAATTTTGAATTAGTGGGCATTTACCGTCATAGACCACAACAGAATCACAAGTTGTGAAACAAGTGTTACTGTGCCCAAGGGAGCTTGAGTGTGACAGTCAACTGTTTTGCACCCGAAGGTCAGGGCGATTGCGATTAATGGCTACGGCCTCAGCGAGCTTGAGTAGTTTGGCGTTTATGTTGCGGTAGATAATCGTAAACGCCACTTCCGGGTCAACTTGATGACCTGCGCTCAGTAAGGGCTTAGCAATCGATGAGGTCTACATTTTGAAGCTCAACGCCTCTCCTTGTGTTTGACTCCTCGTAACGGCATCGACCCACTTCGGAATGTGTTCTCCGATCCGTTCGACCGATGTATGTGCTTCCGTAGCTACAGACAAAGTGGTAAATACAATATGTAGTGGCGGAGATCTATTGGGTAAGCTTGACCGGAGACGGTAATTTCCTGGTTGTCCAAAGGGGACCAATTTGGCAGCACTGAACGTCTTTCGAATTACTGTGGCTACACGTCGCTCGAATTGCTTTGCCACGACATCCCCTTTGATGGCAATTGGAGATAAGCGATCGTTTTTGACACTGTAGGCGGCTTCTGTTTGTTATCATATCGGGCGGCCGTGTAACATGATAAGAGCTGCGGGGTAACCATTTGCTCGCAGTGTCTGCGTAATCAATTGCAATTCAGAGTCCAGAAATTCGGGGCTGCATATTCTACGAGCTCTTTGGAACAGGGTTTTGACGAGGCAACGTTTATACTGGACAGGTGTGAAGCTACTGAAATGTTCGTATAGTCCTGTCTAAGTGGATTTTCGGTAGACAGATCGCCGTATCGAGCCGTCTGTTATTCTTGTCAGTAGCACATCCAAAAAGGCAAAACAGTTGTTATTCTCCAGTTCACATGTAGTACGGGCATTTGGATGTGCGTTGTTCATCGCATCGAGAAGGGTTTGGCGGCATTGCTGTTTGGAGCGATTACCAACGTGTCATCAACGTACCGCTTGTACAGGCACATCTGGTCAAGGTGTAGCTCACAACGTGATTCAACCATTGCCATGAAGATATCTGCTAGCGTAGGGCCGAGTGGACTTCCCATAGAAACGCCGTCCACATGTCGGTAGGACTCACCTAGGAACAAGAAGTGGACATTCTTAGTGCTAACAAAATTAAATCATTCAGACATTCCACGAGTATCGGTAAAGCGACTTACATTTCCATCACAAAATCACACGAGTATTTCACCGTCTCCTTTAACGGGACTTTGGTGAACAGTGATAGAACATTAAGAGAACACCTTATCAGCAATATTCATGCCTTGCGCGTGTTCGATTAATTTGAGGTGTCTTTCACGGTGCATTTAACGACAATCTACCTCACTGGTGCAACTATTTCGACTAACCAACGAGCCAATTTGTGATACGGGGAGTTAGTCATGGACAGTGTAGACCGAAGTGGAGTACACTCCTTGTGAACTTTTGGTAGGACGTACATCTGGGGGGTGCAAGTACCAATTAGCTTAAGTGTGTTGTACATTGTATCCGTCAGTATTCCGTGTTGCAGCAATATCTTCAATTTGTTGGTCACCAACTTTATATTTTGAGCTAAGTCGATTCCGGTATTCTTCTTCTGAAACTTGCACTTATCACTCAAAATTTCCTTCATCTTGTTTGTATAGTCAGACTCATCCGTGATGGCAACTCCGGTACCTTTGTCCGGTTTTAGAATAATCAAATTCTTGGATTTCAGACCCTTTAGTTCTTTAATGTGGTGTTTACTTAGGCTGAAAATTTGGGGAAACGATCTTCATGAAACCGTTTGCGATGTCAACTAGATTCACCTTCAGCCAATTGTAATCTTCCTGAGTTGTTGGACTCAATTTCGACAACCAGGTTTTCGTATTGTACTTCTACATGGACTCGGTCAACTTTCTTAGGTGGGACTTTGAAGTTCAGACTCAATGATAGACCTTCCATCTGGATCTTGTTCAGCTGCACAGAGGACAAATTATGCACATGCTTCTGTTTATCATGATGCTTTTGTTACTCGCTCTTCTGTTATGCTGTTGCGAATCTATTGCCCCGTTTTTGTGTTTATTTTTCATTACATAATGCTTTTGCTGTTTGCTATCCTCGATGTGGTTGCGCTTGATGTGTGTGTTGACAATATGCCTACCTGTCGAAAATCCGCTACCTCGATTGGTGACTCTAAGAGATAGTTGACCGTTGTTTGGAGAGACGGGATGCAGGATTCTCGGGACTGTGCTAGGCTCACAGAGTGGTTTCATGCATCCATTGTGGAGCAAGCTACGGCCCAGCCATCGCCTTGTGTACGTCTGATATACAGGATTCTCCAATTGAACTGACTGGAATGCTGTTGCTGTGGATGTTGAAGGAGTATGGAGCGGCTCTCATGATGGAACGTGACTTCCATCCACATGCCTCTTCATGGTCTGGTTCCTTCGGATTTCCACCGGATATGGGGTGTGTGGATGGAGCCGTGGGTGGTGCAGCGCAGCCATCCGTGATCCCTCTGTAGGGGCAGGCGTCCTGTGGCGGTTCCCATGGAGGCCACAGTGACAGACGATTTCGGAATCCGATGCCACCAACACACATGTATTTTCTGAGGTACGCACGTCCTCATAATCATTTTGTATGCAGTGCGATCACCGCTGTACTGATGCTTGGAAAATTTTTGATCCAATTAGAAATCGGGCGCATTTGACCTTCCACTTACGTGCCACCGCAACATCTTAGATACTTGAGTTTTTAGACAGTGAAATGCTTTGAGGTCAATTTGGATGTATTGTTTTTAACTTTTGTGGAAGGGGAGAGGTGCTGCTTCCTCTGATTAGCCTTCTATGTGCCCTTGATCCTTGTTCAAATTTTGTTTTGTTGGTTAAGACTAATTAACCGATCACTTTTAAGGTTAATAGCATGACATTATTTCTGGTGCCTAGTTTTTTTTAAAATCTACGGATGCTTGTCTATCGTCTGGATGGATTGAACGTTTTCGGTTAATTCCTTGCTTTCTTGGAGGGCGCATATCATGCAAGCGGTTGTTTCTCTCTTCATATTGGCCTCTCGGTCATTACAGAACTGATCTTAACGATGCCTGATCGAAATGTCTGCCATTTCCACCCCTATCCGTTCAGTCCAATGCACCACATTTGTCTTTTTCTAACCTGCCAAATTTACTCCCACTGCTCGTAGTACCTACTCACCATTCCTCTATCCCGTCTGTGTCCGGCCACTGAAGGACACATGCAGTGCATGACGCGTTTCTGTTATTTTGGCTTGTATCATCAAAGTACATCACGTTTGATTACTTAGCCTCAAGCATGTTGGTGTTCATCGATATTTAGAAAGCTTCACCCCCACTCTGGTCTTGCATATTTGTAACTGCTTGCCCTACTGTGCACTCTGTCCGTCTTTGTACATTGTGACTAGAGCAAATTAACCTTGAGTGAAGCCGTCATCTTTTTACTACCCGGCTTGTGTTCCCATAGGAGCGTGGCTACTCTGTAGAGTGTCTTAATGCCTCCTCCGCATTATCAACTTCGCAGTTCCGATGCACTGTAGTTGTTTCATCTGATTTCCCATCTGGCCACAGTTATCCGGTTCACACAACATTCCGGCAACACAATTTACTATGTAACACCTTCCGTTCTTTCCTACGTACAGGTTCAGTGGTCCTCGGGCATTTTCGGTGTGTCTAAACCAACCACTGTAAAGCCTACCCGATTTTCCACCACTCCACTGGCTAGTGACTGTTCCACAATTAATACTCCAGTCGTCGCCAATAAAACCACCATGGATGGACTGTTGAGTTCTTTGTGTCAGCTTCAGTCATCTGATTTGTCCTCTCAACTGTTTTCCACTGCGGGAGCCACCGGTATGACAGTTTACCCTTTACGAATGTCTGCCAATGGATCGACCGTTTTTCTCACAGCCTCACCATCCGGCAAAAATGCAACATTTGCTCATGGTCTGAATATAATTGGCGCCAACGCATTAAGAACGGCAAACCAGGTATCACCTGTGCTTACCGTTGCTTCCACTACTCCACTGATCTCGTGCTGTTCCAGCCCAGTTAACACTACCCCTATTCCCTCAAACACCGTATGTTGTGGCTCAGTGACGATGGCCAGCCCGTCATCAGTACTAACATCTACTCCCAGGGCCAAACCGAAATTTAAAGCGCTATGGGAGACCAGCTTGCAACTGGACGAGGATCATAGCATAAACAGTACTCTAGCCACTTCGGATTTTTCTGACCCTGTAAATCCCAGTGTTGGGCGATCTGACGGTCTAAGCACGAGTTCCCCAATCCTCCTCTCCAGCGGCAGCAACAGCAGCGGTCAACGTCAGTCACCAATGCTGCGAGTCAAGTCCATTGGACAAACACATAAACGATTGGCTGCCTCAGCGGCTTCCTTTTCCGATGAACAGCGGTCCCCTACCCAAGATGGGCCGAAGAAATTACTTCTGTTGTGCTCCCAATCAAAAAGCTTTGAAGACTATTCATTTTCGACTACCTCGTCCTCCGAATCCGTGTTGACTAGGGGGCTTCAACCGCGAATATCTCCTGTTAAAACTACACGGCCAGATGGAACTGAGGCAAGCTTGACGAGCTCCGACCGCAGGGAGGTCCCATCCAATCGGCCACTCATCGCTCCGGCTGTAACACACGGCGACCCACGCACAACCACCTGCCAGCTCGCCGTTGACCAAGATCCGGTTGCTGTGGTAGTGGACTCACGAGGAGAGATGGTGCTTTCTAAACACTTTGAAGGTGGTCGTCCAACAATAAAGGAGGAGCCGGTAAGTTTAAGTCGTTATGCTCATTCATAGATTGTGTCCAGCCACTTAATGTGATTGTTTCTTGCAATGTTTTTAGCCTATACTAGTTCGACCTTAGTTACGGTAGAGATCCTTTGGTTCTCTTCCGCCTATACATATGAGCAGGAGTTGAATACGGCAACATTCAAGTTGAATCTCGTTTTCATTTCCGGTAAAGCTTAAAATCTTGCTTGACACATTTGTAAACGACTAGACTTAGCATTGGTCAAGTCGCACTCGCTACACTTAGAGTTTCTATCCAGCTAATAATAATCAATGACTGGATCTCCGATACACTATTTTTCCACACTCGTTCGTTGGTTTTATGGGTTGAGATAGGAAAGTTTACGCGACCTCTCCACGACATACCGCTTTCATCGACATGGGGATTCGGGTGGCAGTTTGACCGGGTGAATTTTATTCTGATAAGCCTAATATATCACAAAACACAGGTTATGAGATGACGCTATCATTCTGTGCATTCTCAACAGTCACCTTCATGCCGATCGTAATAGACCCAAAGTGGTCTGGTCACTCGAGATGGATTGGTGGGCGCTTGTTGCGTTTCACCATACCGCCGTTGGTGCGTTGCCATTGTCACCTGCTTTTGCACACAAAATGTCCGTAAGAGGGAGCTCTAGGATGTGAGCTTTCATTTTCCTATGAGGGCTGTAAATCATGCATCGGAATCGAACTGGTGACCGATGTTTAATAAATCCCTCGGGATTGCTGGGGCAACCCTACCCCTTTAACCTGATCCACCCGCCAAATAATACGTTCTCGGATTTACCCACCCATACTTCGATCAGCACGCTCAACGTAGCTGCCACGGCTACAGCTGGGTTTGTGGGACAAGTAACCCCTTTCTGACATCCGGCTCTCACGATAGGTAATTGTTCCTACGTCTACCGATGTACGCTTTCTAATGATATTACTACTACTATTACTACTACTAATCTATCAAGTTGCTCCATTGTGCAATCAGAACAAAACAGCACCGCAAATAAAATTATTCATGACACTTTCAGAGCATTCCATTAATACTATAACCATGCGCGAAGATATACAGCAACCTTCAGATGTCAGCCCTTCTCACTTCTCGCACTGGGCCAAGCCTGTCCGTCTTCTCAACGTGTTGAGTCATCCAGATTTCATTATAGATTATCTTGCATATACTAGAGGTTAACTTGTCTGGGTCGTTTAGAGTGGTGTCGCGATTTCTCGGTTCCGGTGCACGCTAAGTAGGCTTCCACTTGTAGGCGTTTGCTATTCTGTCTTATGACCTGTTACGGTGCATTTGGCTTCCCACCCGATCAGATCTTGACTTAATTTCTGCGACCACTGACCTACACTAGATGCACCTCACACGATCAGCCCCTTTAAAGACTTTTTTTACCCTCTTCTTAGTCGTTGCTTGCTGAGGTAGCAAGTTCTTTAGACTGCTCCATGTTTGCAACACTTCACACCATCTTCGACGGCTAAATGGACGCATTGCTGCATAGCATTCCAGGTCCGGCCAATGTATGTCAGGCTATGCCTAGCAACAAACTCTTCGTTCTCTTTTGGATGTGTGAACGCGCGTGAACTCTGTCTGAACACTTGCTAGCGATGCAATTTGTAAGAACCACTTTACTGCTGGTTGCACTTAACATCGGAATCGTGTGTCTTTTGCTTTCAGTCACGTTCCTTCTTTTACTCGTGTCAGTTGAGGCTACTTGTCTCTATTTCAGCCGCATGTCTTCCACGATGCCAAACGAACTTAGTGCTGCATGTGTCGTAATTATGCGAACATCATGGTTGGCGGCATCCGGTTCCGGATTTGCCTGTCACTGTGGCCTCCATGGGAACAGCCACAGGACGCCTGCGCTTACAGAGGGACCAAGGGTGGCTTGTGTTGCACTACCCACAGCTCCACCCACACACCTCATATTTAGTGTAAACCTGAAGGAATAAGACCGTGAGGAGGCATGTGGATGGGAGCCACGTTTCATCAACGGAGCCGGCCCACACTCCTTCAACATGCACACCAGCAGCATTCCGGTCTATCTATCTAGGGAATCATGCGTGCCAGACGTACACAAGGTGGTGTCTGGGTTGTAGTCTGCTCCACAATGGATGGGACCACTTTTTGAGCCTACTACGGCCACGAGGACCATGCACCCCGACCCCACCAACAACGATTCACAGTCTCCTGGAACCAGCAATAGAGGTGGAGGGCATTAGACAGGTAGGCACCTTGTCAACATGCACATCATGCGCAACCACACCGGGGATATCAAAAAAGCAACATAGAATTTGAAGGAAAGCAAACTTGCAAAATTAGAAGATGCAACAAAAGTACATAACTGAACAAATCAAATTAAATTGGAATAATTTTTATCCAGATTAGGAAAATCTGGTTTAAGTTTAAGTCGGTTTGGCCCAACTGCGGTGAAGAAGCATCATGTGTGCAACACCAACCTCAGCATGAGGCGAATATCACAATAAAACCCTAGCAAAACCTATTTGTATTCAAACCTTCTGAAAGCAAGTTTTCTGAATTTTCGTAAAGTCTTACAGACATGCATGGACCAAAAAAGGTTCTGGGACAAAATGACGTCGAGATATTTGACGGTGAAAGAGCTGGGTATGGGATTTTCATTTACGGTAAGAGTGGGAGAGAAATCTATGAGGGACTGAAACTTATCGCCACGGAGGGAAGAAAATATTACATCGCTGCATTTAGAAGCATTATATGTAAGAGATCTGGATGAAGACCATAACATCAGGTCTTCCAACTCACCTTGAAGTGATGAGGAATACTGAGCAGTGGGGACCATACATCCCAGCACAACATTGTCAGCATATTTACACACTATAAACCTGGTTGTTACAGTGAGACTTTCAGCCTACAAGGAAAAGGGAAAGGTGATAGGATCGCTCCCTGCAGAACACCACAGTCGGCACGGAGAACGGAGGGTTTTTTACCGTTCAACTTGATGAAGGGAGTACGATCCGTAAAATAGTCATGTAATAGATTACACACACCTGAGTAAACTCCATTTTCGGATAGCAGGTTTAGCAACATTGATCATTGATCATTCGAATAATCCAGTAAGAGAAGCCGTACGGATTTACCTTTTTGATCTAATGTAGAGGCTACAGAATAAACAAGATATGCCACTGCATCCAATGTAAAGCGCTGGGGTCTATACGCGAACTGATAGATATCGTCCCCAGGAATGGTTGTAACAGTCCGCAGGATTAACGGATTTTCGAAAACGTTTAGAAGCACAAGTGTACATGCAATTGGGCGATACTTTAGTGATCCAATTTTTTGGTACTGGGGTCATACTGGCCACTCTCCAAATGTCTGGGATCGCACCCATAGTGAAGCATTTGTTACAGAGATTTGTTAAAGGCAGTGTGAGAGAATCAGCACACTTTCAAAGCTAATGGTGAGGGAGCATTCGGACCACATGCTTTGTTTGCCTTTAATCTTTTAAGTTCCTTGTGAACGTTGCTTTGATCGAAGGGAGCAGCTGGACTTAAACTAATGAAGAAGGGCAAGAAAGGTGAACTTAATGTGGCGGAACTAAACTCAGAATTCAGTTTATCCACATCCACCTCATCGCTCTGGCTGCAAATGCTCTTACCACAGAGCTGCCTCAAAGGCCTACATTGATCACGACAGTTATGGTTGCCTAGAACTGCTTCGATGCATAAGTGGTTTAGCCTTTTTCTCTCGGATTTAATTGTTGTGCTTAAGCTTTTGACACGAGTATCATTCTTGCACTTGTAAGCCCATTATTTCATCCTTCGAAGCCACCTTAGGTGATGAAACTCCATCCGCCCTTAGGTAGATCGTTTCAACAGGGCAACACATGTCAAAGTAATATTTGGTGTAGTCCGCAAGATGGTCACACTGAGGCGACAGGTCCTCGTCATTGAAGACCGAAAAATCAATTAAAAAAGCATCGTCTGGAGCCTCGTGATATTTTCGAAGGAGCAAATTCGGCGTTTGATAATCTTGTAAGGACGTCTGGTCAACATTATGACATTAGACCTGCTGGATATGACTGGACACAGTTTTAAAATACAATGCTCTGAGCTACTCAAATGAGCCCGTTTTCGTATGGAAAACAACTGTCGTTTATTTGTGTACACAACGTCCAACTGGACATCTTGTCTGATCAAAACACTCACTAGGTCTACCAATCCAAATGTCTTCAGGAATGTTGTATCCTTTCTATTGACGTCGCCAGCGACAATACAGGTAGAACAATATAATTTAATCAGTGACCTTGAAGAAATTTGGTTTTCAAAAACTTTGACGCGGATGTGTCAGGAGTAATGTATACGTTTCCAGCGATAACTGATTGAAAGCCGCTTACGAAATTCGCTTTAAATTCAACTAAGTTGTAGCATATAGGAATCGTTAAGTATGTGAATGCTATGATTGCTGAGTTGCACCAACGTTGATTGGCGTGTTATAACGCCGCCACCGCGGAACTGGGGCTTTCCGGGGCGGTCAGACCTGATGGGAAATTAACCGAGTTGAATTACCCCATTTTCCACATCAATAGGCAACCAACTTTCTTGTAACAGAATGATTCCTGTATTAAAATACCCATTTCGCTGCATAATGGCACTGAGATCAGTGCTTTTGCCAAGAAGCGAGCGCACATTACTAGAAAGTATCAACGGGACTTGTGCTTTTTCGACAGAACAACGACTGAGGCCAGATTGCCAGCTAGCATGATGCTTTCACTTTATTCCAAGTGATTTATCCCTAACTCCTTTGAATGTGTTTCTGACTTCATGACCCGTATTCGATGAAGTCCGGATTTAAGGCGATAACGGGTAACGTTTTCAAATGCTTGACGAAGTAGGACATGATTGACCTTGAGACTTGATCCGCAAAAACAAATTGCTTCAAACATACAAATATATATATATATATATATATATATATATATATAATGCTCGAAGTCGTTGAAATT